TAACACATCCATAACAAGAAGTACAATGTAACACATCCATAACAAGAAGTACAATGTAACACATCCATAACAAGAAGTACAATGTAACACATCCATAACAAGAAGTACAATGTAACACATCCATAACAAGAAGTACAATGTAACACATCCATAACAAGAAGTACAATGTAACACATCCATAACAAGAAGTACAATGTAACACATCCATAACAAGAAGTACAATGTAACACATCCATAACAAGAAGTACAATGTAACACATCCATAACAAGAAGTACAATGTAACACATCCATAACAAGAAGTACAATGTAACACACATCCATAACAAGAAGTACAATGTAACACATCCAAACAAGAAGTACAATGTAACACATCCATAACAAGAAGTACAATGTAACACATCCAAAACAATGAGCACAATGGAACACATACAAAACAACAAAATTACAATGAACACACCCAAAAGAATGAGTACTAAAACAACAATAAGTACAAGGAAACACCTAAAAAAAAATAAATACAATGTAACACACCCAATATAGCAATAAGTACAATGTAACTCATTCAAAACAGAATGTACTATGTAACATATTCTAATCAACAATGAGCACAATGTAAACACACCCAAAACAACAACTGCACTGCAAGCCCGGGTTCACACTGATGCGGTGCAGAATTCGCAGCGTTTGCAGTGCAAAATCTGCACCGCATCCCAATTGCACCGCTTTCATGTGAACCGATGCGGGTGTGTATGTTAACACCTCGAGATCGGTCCACAAAACGCGGTGCGACGTGCAGAATCGGTTTGCATAGGTGTGAATACCCATACAATCTGATTCTAGTGGGGTCCTAATCTCATCGCACACAAATCGCATGTGATTTGTATGGGAATGCGGTGCGGTTCCTGTGCGAATCACATGGGATTTACCGCACCGCTGTAGCGTGAACCTAGGCTCAAACATCCAAAATGATGAACACAATGTAACACATCCTAATCAATCAGCACAATCTACCACATCAAAAATAACACATCCAAAACAAACACAATGTGACAAATCCAAAATACTGGAACATTGTTTCCAGGCCGGACAATCTTCAGGCCTCCTATGATCTTTGATAGATATATGGAAGTTCTAGCCTCTGTTCTATGATCACCGTCACACCAAACCTCAGCACTGAACCAATCACAAGCAGTGCCTGGAGTTGGAGGTTCAAGCTCTGCTCCTGCACAAGGTTTGGGAGGGTATCCAATACTTTCCACATCAGTTGCTCTAATGGGCTGTATCTGGAGATTTGAAGGGCTCCTCATCATGAATACAATGTCCTGTGTATTTTAGTAAAATAGATAGATCTCCAGACTCAGTTCACTCTCAGCCCCTGAAGGAAGCAGATCAGAGAAGTCTGAAGTCCATATCGCCATCTTTGTTCTGGGTCAGTGACCTAACAGTGTTTGTACAGCCAGAACATTCCTCTTCAGTTCTGGATAGAGAAGGGAAGGATAAGTACTCAGCAGGTTATTATTGCCGTCTGTAACCCCATGAAGTAGCTTTACCCCCCTATTTGTCCTGGTGTCCCCAGGACAGAAATGATGGGAAATACAAATTCTTCGAGTTGTCACCTGTTGGTGTGCTGCAGTGCGATCTCCAAAATGAGGAGGTGTGGGTAGGACAGGTACAACCCAAACACTAAGCTCTATGAGCCGGGCCCTCTGATTCCTCTTGTACCAAATTGTATTGTAATCAGGGGCGGACTGACCATTCGAGCACTCAGGCACTGCCCGAGGGCCCGGGATCAGTAGGGGGCCCCATGAAATGCCCCTGGTACCTTTACTGGTAGGCTTTTTTGAGTGTGGGCAAGGACACAGGGGCCCCATGATCCCCTATTGCCCGGGGGCCCCATGAGTTTTCAGTCTGCCCCTGATTGTAACTGTAACATCTGCCTTCATTTTGTAAAGCGCTGAGCAAACTGTTGGCACGATATAAATCCTGAATAATAATAAAATGACATTTGTATCCCAATTAATGGGTTTTTATGTCAGACATCAGATGCACGGGAGAGCTGAACTGAAAAGAAAAAAAAATAAATGGCAAAACTAATTCTGTTGGCGGCCAGATGGGCGTTGTAAAAAAAAAAAATCTAAAATCGAAACGGGGCGAAATTTCCATCTGGACACCTTGTTCCGATTCTGCTCATCGCCATTTTTCGGAATAATGGAGTTCCTGGCAATCGGCGCGCACTCTTAAAATATGGACAGGCAGGGAGAATGGCTGACATCAATTATCCCGAGTCGGCGCTCAGGAGTGTACAGATGGCAAGAGCGCGATTTATTGCCCGTGGAAGACGGGAGGGAGGAGAGGCGCCCGCCGTGAATCATCCTGGAGGGTAACTGATCTCTCCCTGGGCCCAAATCCTGTCATTTTATGACACTGGCTGCAAACTGGGGCGTAAAACTCAATGGGGGGGTTGGGAGGTGGGGGTCAACCTTTAAGGTGCCTTAGAGGGCAAACATAAAAAAATACAAAATGTAAATGTTTTCACAGGAGAAGCTTTGTAAAGCAGTGCAGGGATCTTTTTACCCCGTTCCTCCATCGCTAAAATGGAGGGTGACAACACTTTTCATCACCTGTGGATCAGCAGACTCTTCCCGCCTGTGCTGAGCTTTCCCCACAGTACCCTCTCTTCTTGCCTCTCAGCTTCCAGTTCTACTTCTCCTACTTCAAGCCTGATCTCATCAGTTTACAGCCCCTCCCACCACAAGCCTGATCTCATCAGTTTACAGCCCCTCCCACCACAAGCCTGATCTCATCAGTTTACAACCCCTCCCACCTCAAGCCTGATCTCATCAGTTTACAGCCCCTCCCACCACAAGCCTGATCTCATCAGTTTACAGCCCCTCCCACCACAAGCCTGATCTCATCAGTTTACAGCCCCACCACAAGCCTGATTTCATCAGTTTACAGCCCCTCCCACCACAAGCCTGATCTCATCAGTTTACAGCCCCTCCCACCACAAGCTGACCCTCATCAGTTTACAAGCCCCTCCCTCCACAAGCCTGATCTCATCAGTTTACAGCCCCTCCCTCCAAAGCCTGATCTCATCCAGTTTACAGCCCCTCCCCCAGCCTGATCTCATCAGTTTACAGCCCCTCCCTCGCAATTACCACAAGCCTGATCGCATCAGTTTACAGCCCCTCCCATCAGCACTTTCACAAGCCCCAGTCCCACACAAGCCTGATCTCATCAGTTCACAGCCCCTCCTGCCTGATCTCATCTGTTTCACAGCCCCTCCCACCTGATCTCATCAGTTTACAGCCCCTCCCACCACAAGCCTGATCGCATTAGTTTACAGCCCCTCCCACCACAAGCCTGATCTCATCAGTTCACAGCCCCTCCTGCCTGATCTCATCTGTTTACAGCCCCCCCTCCCACCTGATCTCATCAGTTTACAGCCCCTCCCACCACAAGCCTGAGCTCATCAGTTTACAGCCCCTCCCACCACAAGCCTGATCTCATCATCTTACAGCCCCTCCTGCCTGATTCATCCGTTTACAGCCCCTCCCACCTGATCTCATCAGTTTACAGCCCCTCCCACCACAAGCGTGATCTCATCAGTTTAAAGCCCCTCCAGCCTGATCTCATCAGTTTACAGCCCCTCCCACCACAAGCCTGACCTCATCAGTTTACAGCCCCTCCCACCACAAGCCTGATCTCATCTTTCAGCTGGTGTGCGGGAACTCAACATAACTCAGGCAATTACAAAGTGATCTTGTATTTGTTGAAGGAATTTATAAATGTCCTTTAAGGGATCAGTCCGCCTACAGACATGGAGGTAACTGTGAGCACCTGACACCGACCTGCGCAGTTGTCCCGTGTTTAGTTTGGCGCAGGCCGCCTCTGATAACCGCTAGTGAAATATTTTGAGGTTTCTCAAGGTTATCGCCGTCGCCCGCGTTAGCCGGGGACTATTCTCTGGCAGCTAATTAGCTTATCTGCGGTAAAAGTCTCCTTTCTCCGGCGTAAAGAAAAACACGATCTGTATGTGTGGGCGTCACGTTACAACCAGCCTGAGGACAACGCGCCGCGCCCCCCAGTTTGTCCTCCATCTTGGTGGATACAGGTGACGCAGAGCGTGCAGATAATTAGGATTGATGGTGGAGACAGGGGCGGCCTGACCATTTGGAAACTCAGGCACTGCCCGGGGTCAGTAGGGGGCCCCATGAGATGCCCCTGGTGCCTTTTCCATAAGATTTTTTGAGTTTGGGCAAGGACACAGGGGCCCCATGATCCCCTATTGCCCGGGGGCCCCATGAGTTGTCAGTCCGCCCCTGGGTGGAGAAATCAGGAGACGGATTCAATGATAGATCCCAGAGAATGTACAATGAGAGATTTCCCAGCATGTAACCAGGACTTCTTCCCAGAAGGGGGACTACATGGCGGGGACCAGGCCAGCCTGAGTACAGCACACCATGACTATGTATGGCCCTCTGGATTCTGCTGAGCTGGATTCCAGGAAGAAGTCCCCTTAACACTGACTAACACTGACACTAAGGGGCCCCTTAACACTGACGTTTGAATGTGCATTACTTTAAAGCTGAAGTTTATATTCTGCCTTCCCTGGTTTCCTCCTCCCTCCCCCCCTCTTATCATCATCATCATGTTTAAATAAAACCTTTCCACTTTCAATACATAGCTTATAATTTCATCACTGGGTCTCTGTGCTTTTCTATACAATGCAGGCACATCATGGCTGGTGGGAGGGGCCAGCAGGGTGCTGTACATAGCTTCCTGAAAACATCACAGCACCCTGCCCTGAAGCAAGCAGTGGGCTGGCTCTGGGGAGGAGTTATGCAAATATAATAATGCCTTGATGGGTGGAGTCAATCTGGAGGAGTGGGTGTTCCTAGGCAGGCTGTATTCGCATGAAGACTGCGATAGATGATGCTAAACCACCTGAACAGAACTGAAAGGGGCGGGGCCAGGGACAGTCAGGCTGGAAAGAAAAGGGCCAGATCGCGGACTGACCATTTGGAAACTCGGGCACTGCCCGAGGGCCCGGGGTCAGAAGGGGGCCCCATGAGATGCCCCTGGTACCCTTTTCATAGGCTTTTTTGAGCTTGGGCAAGGACACAGGGGCCCCATGATCCCCTATTGCCCGGGGGCCCCATGAGTTGTCAGTCCGCCCCTTGTCCAGATGATGACAGATGTTCTCCAGCCAGGAAATGAGGCGGAGCTCTATCTGCCTTGCTGCAGCTTCTAATGCACATTGTGAGAAGCTGACAGTGTGCGGTGACATCAGAGTGAGGCTCGGTTCACACCTATGCAGTTTGTGTTTGATCCATTTCTGCGATGCGTTTTGCTTTTTTTTTTTTTTTTTTTCACACGCCTTTTGTATGCGTTTTTGATGCGTGTTGCGTTTTTTTTTTCCAACTTGTTGCTGGGCAGATTAAAATGCAAAAGGCATCAGAAACACACTAAATGGATATCTGCAGCATCTCCATTAAAGTCTATTGAACCAAAAATGCAACATTTTGCATTTAAAAAAGTCCCTGACCCTTTCCAAGAAGCGAAGCGGAGGAAAATGCACAGGTGTGAATGTGTCCCATAGGAAATCATGTTAAATGAACTGCTGTGCGTTGCTGCAAAACGCAACAGAAAACGTGGAGGTGCAGGGGCGGACTGACAACTCATGGGGCCCCCGGGCAATAGGGGATCATGGGGCCCCTGTGCCTTGCCCAAACTCAAAAATGCCTATGAAAAAGGTATGAAATGGACAGGTTGCTGCAAAATGGACTCCAGCAATTTGAGGAGAGCAGCATTTTCAGCAATGCATCGAGTGGGGCAATCTGCTCCCTTTCCCATCTCCTAAATGCAGGAGGAAGGATTGGACAGAACGCCATGGAAAGAGGCTGCAGTCCTGTCAAGTGGCCCTCAGAAAAGCCTGCTTAATGTAGGAAAGGGGGTAAGGCTGGCCATACACTATACAATTTTCTGTCCAATTTTTGCCCAGTTTCCTTTAGATTTACCTTCAACTATGTAGTGCAAGAGCCCACCTCATTGGATACAATTGAAAGTGTTGTTTAGGTTTGACCTCATATTATAAGACCTCCTGCTCTCTTGCTCCCTTGTCTCCTCCTCCCACGCTCGTCTCCAGGACTTCTCCAGAGCTTCCCCCATCCTCTGGAACTCTCTACCCCAATTTATCAGGCTATCGCCTACTCTGCTCACTTTTAGGCGATCTCTGAAAACCGATCTCTTCAGGGAAGCCTATCCTGTCCTCAGCTAATACTGGAATGTTCTAATCTTCCAACCAGTCCATCCCCCACAGTTACTACCTTTTGTATCACTAGCCCCTCCCTCCTAGATTGTAAGCTCCCAGGATCAGGGCCCTCCTATCCCTCTTGTATTAAACTGTATTGTTGCTGTATTGTCTCCCGTTATATTGTAAAGCGCTGAGCAAACTGTTGGCGCTATATAAATCCTGTATAATAATAATAATAATATATAAATCCTGTATAATAATAATAATAATAAATCCTGTATAATAATAATATATAAATCCTGTATAATAATGATATATAAATCCTGTATAATAATATAATATATATAAATCCTGTATAATAATAATAATATATAAATCCTGTATAATAATAATAATATATAAATCCTGTATAATAATAATAATAATATATAAATCCTGTATAATAATAATATATAAATCCTGTATAATAATAATAATAATATATAAATCCTGTATAATAATAATATATAAATCCTGTATAATAATAATATATAAATCCTGTATAATAATATATAAAATCCTGTATAATAATAATAATAATATATAAATCCTGTATAATAATATATAAATCCTGTATAATAATAATAATAATATATAAATCCTGTATAATAATAATAATAAATCCTGTATAATAATAATAATAATATATAAATCCTGTATAATAATATATAAATCCTGTATAAAATAATAATAATATATAAATCCTGTATAATAATACTAATAATAATATATAAATCCTGTATAATAATAAAAAAATAATAATATAGTTTTTGGTAAATTTAAACCAAAAATCTCAAGAAAATCATATAATGTATGGCCAGCCTAAACCTCAAAGCTCACCTGTCACAGCATCTAACCTCCGGCATCCAAAGTCATAGGAGAAACATGGAGGCAGCCATCATTGACCCCTCTGCCGTAACTACTAGTACCACTAAGCACCAGACAGTCCCCGCCCCTTAAATGTTATCTGGGTTGGGCTGACAACACCGCAGAGGATTTCACTACAGCACAGGCAGAGTTGTCACCTCACTGCAGGAAGTACGGAGCTCCCTGAATTTCAGCCAGGAGCTTCTGTACCTTGCAGCATTCTCTGGATTGTTACATTTCTCTGTAGAAAAAGAAACAATATAGATATATTTTTTATACAAACATAAAAAAAAAAGTTGTAGGAAAACCTGTATCAGTGGCAGCGAGCGCACTCCTGACACCTCCGCCTGAGTGATGCGCTCGGGTGTGCAGCGAGGAGGGGGTGACGATGAGAGGACGCTGCTTTGTGTACACTATTGTGGCGGTGTGCGCTCCGCTCTATTGTACACACACGCCCTACAGAACAAAGAAAACTTTATTTGCATGTCACCTTGCGTCTAGAAAGCATATCCAAACAGAGATTTGCATGCTTGTAATACGGCACCATTAACCCACACAGGGATCTGTTGTTCCTCCTACTTGGAAACAACAGACCGGATTCCTAGATTTGTATTTGCTCCATACATGGCCTGCACGGGATGGCCATACACTGCCAGATCGCTGCACTTGGCGGATCTACTGTGAGCCTTGCTAGTGAGGACTGGACAGGATATAGGGAGGCTCTGGGATTGGTCGGGTGCTCCTGCTATCACACAGTAACATGTGCAGGGGCGCTATTCTTCTTCCTATGGGGGAAGGGAGTGATTACGTTGCCCGAGGACTGTGTCTAAGATGGCAGATGAAACATTGTACGAGTCGGGACAGTCCAGGACTACAAGTGCCAGCTTGTCCTGCCTGTAACAGTCTGACACCAGATCTGACACCAGATGAGCTCACAGCATGGATTCATATGCCAAAATATCGCCATTTGATTTTCTCCCACAAATACAGCGCCATATTTGTTCGGGCATCATCAAGGCTCACCATCTTCTTCATGGACTGCGTTTCCAGCTCAGAGATGACACAGTCTTGTAAATCTTGGTGACTGTGTAGTTCGTAGTTGTGTTCACAAATGTCCGACGCAGATCAGCCCCTGCTGTATCCCCTCACCCTGTGACTTACTGCAAAGTTACAATGTACAGTCTGATCACTGGGGGGAGGGATGACTGAGGAAATGCTTCTTCCTGCCTGCAGCAGAGTGATGACATCATCTCAGCCTAGGCAAAGTCCCTGACTGGACCTCAGGGCCGGCTTTTTAATGATTAAGGCTGGAATCTACCTGAGCTATGATCCTGTTACTGTATATTGTGCCATGTTGGGGATTTATTAATACAGACCTGGAAAGGTTCTGAAAAGTCCACTTTAATGAAGAGAACGGAACATTTTGGAGCCAGCTGCAGCTCGGGTCTCATAGATTGCCACATGTGAAAGCCGTTGATCCCTCGCCCACATGCCAGGCTGCAGCTGACAGGCACTGGGAGGAGGGAGCGTTCCGCTGGCACCGGAGATTTGTCCTTTGGCGCACGAAACCCGCGATGAGTCTGCCAGTGTTTACACAGAGGGTGTGGGAGATACTGCGCTGGGTAAACATGGATCTGTGGGTGACACTCCAGAGAGGGCCAAACCGTGACTAGAGGACTAATTCCGGAGAAGGAGAGACAGGACCAAACCGATCGTCACCAACTCGATTGCCAGCTTCATCATTAGCTATTCACCATTCATGGCTCCCGCCAACAGCGCCATACACGAGCCATACACAAGCCATACACAAGCAGGGGTGAGCCAATCACAAGCCAAACATGAGCAGGGGCGAGCCACACAAAAGCCATACACGAGCAGGGGCGAGCCACAAACAAGCCATACACGAGCAGGGGCAAGCCATACACAAGCCATACACGAGCAGGGGCTAGCCATACACGAGCAGGGGCGAGCAATACACGAGACATACACGAGTAGGGCGAGCCATACACAAGCCATACACGAGCAGGGGCGTGCCATACATAAGCCATACACGAGCAGGGGTGAGCCATACACAAGCCATACATGAGCAGGGGCGAGCCATACACAAACCATACACGAGCAGGGGCAAGCCATACATGAGCAGGGGTGAGCCATACACGAGCAGGGGCGAGCCATACACGATACACGAGCAGGGGCGAGCCACACACAAGCCATACACGTGCAGGGGCGAGCCATACACAAGCCATACACGAGCAGGGGAGAGCCATACATGAGCAGGGGCGAGCCATACTCAAACCATACACGAGCAGCGGCGAGCCATACACAAGCCATACACGAGCAGGGGTGAGCCATACACGATCCATACACGAGCAGGGGTGACAGATTTTCCTTCTGCAAGGATCAGAGCAACGTGATTGCATCTTATAGGAGAAATTGTCTGCCGGTTGTTTTATGACCCTCACGGCGAAGTCCGATCGCCTCTCTTTTTATTGGCAGGAATGTCTGCCTCTTATTGGGGAATGGAACAATTTATGGCGTCGCTCTTTCCGCTGCTGCTTCAATAATCCCTCTGCGGTTTCAGATTTTTCTTTAAACGCGCTCTTTTATCTTTTGCCATTTCCAGAACCTTGTTATAGTTGAGTGCTGACGCACGGATGTGACACTCAGGCGATATAATGCGTCCGCTTTTAGAAACATACAATGTTGCGTCGATCGTTCAGTAAGAAGAAAAAGGGCGCATTTTCCACATCTGAAAGGATCAGTAAATTCTCTTTTTCTGACCACATCTTATTGTTCTTTTTGTACACGTAGCATATGACCCAGATCAATACGATCATTCAATGCAAATAAACTGACGGAATCGATGCAAATCCTAAACCACAGACCCTGCGTTCAATCGATTTAGTTTCTGCTGCATCGATCACCTGTGGCAAAATTCTGTTGAACACTTGAATAAGTATCTGTGTGCGCACTGGAGATCGATGAAATGATCAGTTTTAATCAATTGCATATATTCAAAGATGATCAATCGTATTTTTTGATCAATACTTCAGGCAATCGATGGAGCAGAACAACTTGGTGTGCGTTGTTCAATATTTAGGTCAGTGATGAATCGCTAGTTTGTGATCGCTCACACTTCGACAAATCACAGATCACCTCCAATTATACCTCGCTTACCTGCAAACGTCAGTTACGTACAGGGGCGGACTGACCATTTGAAACTCGGGCACTGCCTGAGGGCCTGGGGACAGTAGGGGGCCCCATGAGATGCCCCTCGTACCTTTTTCATAGGCTTTTTTGAGTTTGGGCAAGGACACAGGGGCCCCATGATCCCCTATTGAAGGCCGGGGTCAGTAGGGAGCCCATGAGATGCCCCTGGTACCTTTTTCATAGGCTTTTTTTTTGAGTTTGGGCAAGGACACAGGGGCCCCATGATCCCCTATTGCCCGGGGGCCCCATGAGTACCTTTGTCAGTCCAGGGGCCCCCCTCGTTACGTTACGTATTATCTCTTATTTGTGATCATACGGGGGAGGTTGGGGGTTCAAGTTGTCATCTTTCAACTTCAGTGTATCTCTAGTCAGAACATTTTTTGGATAACGTAGGGAAGGGTTAGAGCCCCTGCCTGGGTCCCCGTTGGGAAGATTTAGCCCTTTGTTTGCCCAGATCACCAAGAAAAAAAGTGACAGTTGTCACCAGGACGTCAATAGAGAGTAATCTTCCAGTGCAATGACAACCGTCAAAGGGCTAGAATAGATTATACATGTGTCACCCTCTGAAGAGCAATCTGTGGCAGATCTCTTTTCAGAGGCATTTGACCAGCATTAAGGAGGCATTGTGACTTTCTCATTTTGAGAAATTCAGCTTTAACCCCTAAAAGCCCGTACTAGCATGCAATGCTGGAAGTTGTGTTGCAGACCCATTCGCTAAATTTGGTGCAAGGGCAGCACAGTGTCTAAGTGGTTAGCACTTCTGCCTGGCAGTATGAGGGTCATTGGTTCATATCCCAACCACGGCACCACCTGCCTGGAGTTTGCATGTTCTCCCTGTGACTGTTTGGGTTTCCTCTGGGTACTCCGGTTTCCTCCCACACTCCAAATTACCCGGTGTTTGGGGAAAAAAGATGATGGGACTTGCAGATTAGCAGCAGTCGCAGAGTCAGCAGCTGCTGGCAAGGAACTGCTGGGACTTATAGTTCTACAATAGCTGCACAGCCACAGAAGGCCCTGAAACTGTCGGCATGCTGTGACTTGTAGTCCTTTTGGAGCAGAGGAAGTCTGACATTCTGCCAGCAGGAGATGATATCAGGACGATTATGAACTCCTCTGACCCGACAGCACAAGGTGGAGCCGTCACTGTGACTCATCTGCCTTTGTACATCTCAACATTCGCTTCCACAGGAAACCCTCTATAGGCAGCGCTGACAGCGCACAGGAAATCAGGTGCGCAATGCTGAAAACCCGTCCCCTGAAAGGCTGCTATCCTTGTGCTAGTAATGGTTTGAATTTTAGCTTCTGTGAGTGGTCAGGCCTGGTGTCAGTGTGACGGGGCGCACAGGCAGATCCTTCAGAATAAGGTACTGAACAGGGGCGGACTGACCATTTAGGCATTTGGGCACTGCCCGAGGGCCCAGGATCAGTAGGGGGCCCAATGAGATTCCCCTGGTACCTTTCATAGTCTTTTTTGGATGTGGTTTGAGTGTGGGTGAGGACACAGGGACCCCATGATTTCTATTGCCCACGGGCCCCATGAGTTGTCAGTCCACCCCTGGTACTGAAAGATCCTATCTAGAAGATAGAAAGGATGCGCGGCATGGTGAATGTGCACTGTCACAAAGCCAATCAGCGACATTGGTATGACCAACTGCCAATGTGAAGTAGCCGGAAGATACAGAGCAAAAGGAAGCAGCCAATGTGAAGCAGCCGGAAGATACAGAGCAATAAGAAGCAGCCAACGTGAAGCAGCCGGAAGATACAGAGCAATAAGAAGCAGCCAACGTGAAGCAGCCGGAAGATGCAGAGCAATAAAAAGCAGCCAATGTGACGCAAACGGAAGATACAGAGCAATAAGAAGCAGTCAATGTGACGCAGCCAGAAGATACAGAGCAATAAGAAGCAGCCAATGTGACGCAGCCAGAACATACAGAGCAATAAGAAGCAGCCAATGTGACGCAGCCGAAGAAGATACAGAGCAATAAGAAGCAGCCAATGTGACGCAGCCGGAAGATACAGAGCAATAAGAAGCAGCCAACGTGAAGCAGCCGGAAGATACAGAGCAATAAGAAGCAGCCAACGTGAAGCAGCCGGAAGATACAGAGCAATAAGAAGCAGCCAACGTGAAGCAGCCGGAAGATGCAGAGCAATAAGAAGCAGCCAATGTGACGCAAACGGAAGATACAGAGCAATAAGAAGCAGTCAATGTGACGCAGCCAGAAGATACAGAGCAATAAGAAGCAGCCAATGTGACGCAGCCAGAACATACAGAGCAATAAGAAGCAGCCAATGTGACGCAGCCGGAAGATACAGAGCAATAAGAAGCAGCCAATGTGACGCAGCTGGAAGATACAGAGCAATAAGTAGCAGCCAATGTGACGCAGCCGGAAGATACAGAGCAATAAGAAGCAGCCAATGTGACGCAGCCGGAAGATACAGAGCAATAAGAAGCAGTCAATGTGACGCAGCCAGAAGATACACAGCAATAAGAAACAGCCAATGTGACGCAGCCAGAAGATAAGAAGCAGTCAATGTGATGCAGCCGGAAGATACAGAGCAATAAGAAATCAGTCAATGTGACGCAGCCGGAAGATACAGAGCAATAAGAAGAAACCAATGTGACGCAGCCGGAACATACAGAGCAATAAGAAGCAGCCAATGTGATGCAGCCGGAAGATGCAGAGCAATAAGAAGCAGCCAATGTGACGCAGGCGGAAGATACAGAGCAATAAGAAGCAGTCAATGTGACGCAGCCGGAAGATGCAGAGCAATAAGAAACAGCCAATGTGACGCAGCCGGAAGATGCAGAGCAATAAGAAACAGCCAATGTGACGCAGCCGGAAGATGCAGAGCAATAAGAAACAGCCAATGTGACGCAGCCGGAAGATACAGAACAATAAAAAGCAGTCAATGTGACGCAGCCGGAAGATGCAGAGCAATAAGAAGCAGCCAATGTGACGCAGCCAGAAGATACAGAGCAATAAAAAGCAGCCAATGTGACACAGCCGGAATATGCAGAGCAATAAGAAGCAGCCAATGTGACGCAGCCGGAAGATACAGAGCAATAAGAAGCAGCCAATGTGACCCAGCTGGAAGATACAGAGCAATAAGAAGCAGCCAATGTGACCCAGCCGGAAGATACAGAGCAATAAGAAGCAGCCAATGTGACGCAGCTGGAAGATGCAGAGCAATAAGAAGCAGCCAGAAGATACAGAGCAATAAGAAGCAGCCAATGTGACACAGCCGGAATATGCAGAGAAATAAGAAGCAGCCAATGTGACGCAGCCAGAAGATACAGAGCAATAAGAAGCAGCCAATGTGACACAGCCGGAATATGCAGAGAATTAAGAAGCAGCCAATGTGACGCAGTCGGAATATGCAGAGCAATAAGAAGCAGCCAATGTGACCCAGCCGGAAGATACAGAGCAATAAGAAGCAGCCAATGTGATGCAGCCGGAAGATGCAGAGCAATAAGAAGCAGCCAATGTGACGCAGCCAGAAGATACAGAGCAATAAGAAGCAGCCAATGTGACGCAGCCAGAAGATACAGAGCAATAAGAAGCAGCCAATGTGACGCCAGCTGAAATGATGATAAATTCTTGGGGTGCATTAGCCGGGAACCCGCCGCCTCTCTGCAATGCGGTTTGGCTGCGAACTGTCAGCTCTTGCGGCGAAAGCCGTCGCTGGCTCTATTGTTTTCCATTACAATGGAGCTCTCGGCTGACACGGCCACAATCTGGTTCACATCTACGCCGTAATAAGGACCCCGCGGAAAAGAGAGCGATGCACGCACGCGTTTTACAAGGTGTCAAACCTCTGCCTGCGGAAATGGGGGGGGGGGGGGAGGCTTCAAGAAACGCTATTAACACCTTCCAGTGTGAAAAATGTAACCCTTTCTTCTCCCGCCCACAGAGGATCAATCTCTTCCTTTGTATCACTTATGTATTCTGCCATCTTCCAGCCCAATCAGTGCAATGGCCTGATTCCCCTGTGATGGTACACTGAGCTGCCACACAAGCTGGAATGGGAAATCAGGCTTGCAGTGAAAGTGTCCACATGATTAAAGGGGGGGGGGGGCTTAGAGGAAGAAGCTCAGGATGGGGTGTCACCAAGTCAATAGTACATGTAATGAATGGAACGGAGGGGCGTAGCTGTGACAGCATCTGCAGACTTTAAAATGGGTTGTCACCCTCCTTTTGCACAGCAGAAGTGGGGGGGGGGGAAATCACACAAACGGGCACAGATCTTTTGGCAGCTAAAACAGCTCACATAAGACAAGGCATCTGTTATATTTATATTCATATCTGAGCTCAATCGCTAAAATCTCACATATGTTTCAACACATTATTATCCTTTCCAAAGTCATTTTCAATTTTTTTAAATCTGCAGCTTTCATTAAAACAATCCCTAGTGATCCTGTCAGGAAAGGTCTTTGTTCAGGCACTTCCTGTTATAGGGTGACAACTGTTTCACAACTGTGCTCCTGTGTTGTCACCCCATCACGTGGGCTTTTTAGGAAGACTACAATTGTCTGTTTCTGAATACATTACACTGGCATTTTTAACTCTGCAGCTTTTAAATTAATCTCCAGTGATCACATCACAAAGGGTTGTTGTTCAGGCACTTCCTGTTATAGAGTGACAACTATCTGCTACCTGTGATTCTGCGTTGTCACCCTGTCATATGATCCCCTTGGTGGAGACAACAAACAATTGTGCTGATGCAAACTACGCAGGCGTGGTCCACTTCAGCTTCCATGAAAACAATCCCTAGTGATCCTGCCATGAAGTTCCCTTTACAGGCACTTCCTGTTATATGCTTCAATGCTTTGTACCTGTCTCCTTTTGTCACACAGGCTTCCTATGGAGACTACAAATGTCTGTTTCAGAACCCAAAACACAGGCATGGTCCACTGCAGCTTTTATTTAGTATGCTGTCATGAAGGTCTTTGTTCAGGCACTTCCTGTTATAGGGTGACAACGCTCTGTCCCTGTCTTCCAAATGTGCACCTGTCTTGTCACCCTGTCACACAGGTGGAGACTTCAAGCAAAAGTTTCATCACACATTACACAGAAATGGTTCATTCTCACCCTCAGGAAACCAGTCCTGAGAAATGTCATGCGGCCATTGCTGGAGTGCATGTAGATAGGAAGTGGTTGTAAAAAGGCAGCAGGAGATATGCAACAAAAAATGAGAAATAGTTGAAAGCAAGGTTTTCTATTAAAAATGGTTTAAATTATACAGTGAA